TTTAGAAAATAATACAAAAAAAAAAAAAAAAAGTTTGACCAAAAGGGCACTTGGGGGCAAGGAGCAAAAGGGGCAGGTACTCAAGCACCCCCAGGCCCCCTCTGCATGTGCCTGATTACTCCACCACCCACTTGCTCTCTGCTATGGTAAAGTTGGTTCACGAACTAAGGCCAGTTAGCATGGCCACCCATGATGCTGGATAAATGGTTTTTCATAGTTGTTTTCTCCACCAATAGTACATTGAGCAGTATTTTTTGACAGCACTAAGACCCTCCTCCTGGCTCTGTTTGGTTACTTTTGACTTGGAACACTTATAACAGCATACAGTATATTTGCACAAAAATAGCTGAAAACTCCTAAATGAGCTCACATTCTCTCCTTTACATCACACATTGGATGTCCTTTAATGTCCCAGTGTGATTCATAACAAGTAGTGTGAAGCACAGATATACACCCAGGTAAGTAAAGCATGTCTGGCAATAATTGGAGCAAATTCTTTGTTTAAATTTAAAATCTTCTGATTAAATTTAAAATATTTCTTTCTCTTGATGAAGTCTTCTTAGTGCTTTGCAGCACACAAAATCTAATTTGTTAATGAGATCAGATGCATGTGAGAGTGAACTTCTTCATTGTCTTTCCATGTCTGCAAATGTGTTAGAAACATGTCAAAGGCCAGGAACTGTTCATGAAAGTCTGTGATCACCTTAACCTTCTGGAAAAAGACTATTATGGCCTGGCCATCTGGGAGACCCCCACTCTGAAGGTGAGAGCACTTATCATAAATCTAATATTCTCTTTCTACTCCATTCATACAAAAGAGCATCTTAAAAAAATATTGAATAAATGAACCTGAGATTATTGTATTCATGGAGATTTAATAGACATCATACATTCTTCTTTTGTTCTGACAGACTTGGATGGATTTGACCAAAGAGATTCGTAGGCAGGTGCAAGGTGAGCTAAATATACAAATAAATTGCAGATTCTGTTTTGACTTTATTGCATTATTATATATTTATTCAAAATCACACTGGATTTTGTTCTTCAGGGGCCAATTATAATTTCACTTTTAATGTGAAATTTTACCCACCGGATCCAGCCCAGCTGTCAGAGGATATAACAAGGTACATCATGCATCATGCTGTTTAATAATTGTAATTTTATTGTATTTAAACTTACCAGTTTTACCCTAAAAGAGGTAAATTGAAGTGATTTCACTGCTGTGAAATTGAACACAGTAGTGTTCAATTTCTACGCTTAAAATAATGAAAGTTTTGAGTTAACATTAATGTCTGAAAAAAAGCACAGCAAGCAGTGTGTTATGAAGACAGTCATGACAAGATATGTTCATGCTGTGGGAATATCAGGTATTGTTTACAGTAGAACTGGTAAATTAATCTTTGATTATGAGCTTGTATTAATTTTCCATTTGTTTAGTCTTACACAAATATTCAAGTAATGTTAAATATTTTCTGTGGAAATTCTGCTAATGAAAGCATTACTACTCACTGATCCTCCTATAAGGCCTTGCGTAACTTGAATTACTTAGATTTTACAGTGTATGTGACTGAAAGATGCGTAATACTGTCCCTTTAACGACAATCAGATCACAAGAAGATTTAAAAAAAAAAAAATTATGCAAACGCATTGCTTAAAAAAAATAAGCAAAGTAAGCTGAAGATTGCTTTGCTTTAATTAGTGAGTAAGTAAACCTAATTTACATTAAGTAAGCAGTACTAACTCATACGGACCATTGAAAAAAAAGGAAGAATTATGTCCAACTTTCTGGTGTAGCTTCTCTAGCCCGCACGTGCATGTCTGCGTGTCGAAATTTCACATGAACGAATTACGCCACGCTGTTTGCTTGTCTGTCTGTCGCCTCACCGCACAAACTCTATAGAAATAAATGGAGATGGAGCAGCAGTGTCTCCCGTCGCCATGTTATCATTATCTCTGTTACCTGCTGGGCTACTGGCGTCCTACCACAGAGTCCAGTGAGAAGTTGTGAGCTGGAGAAATGCAGGTTTAAAAGCCAAACATAACAGCTGCAGTCTTGGAGGCTTTGGATTCAAACTGAATGACTGTGGTGAACCACTGAACCTGTGGAGCCACTATGTTGTAAAATAGTAACAACCAACATATCTGCACCTAAAATGTATAGATGCCTTTTGCTTGTTTGGGGACCATCCTATTGTCACTGAGGTGCAGTGGTGGTTTCTGGAATGAGCAACATGGGCAACCGCCCAGGGCGGCATCTTGAGGGGGCGGCCCCTTCTTGCCCTTCCCATGAACTGGAGGACCTGAATGTGAACAGTGACTAATGCAAACCCCCCAAAATCCCCTCCCAATTTTTTTTTATAATTAAAAGGTCCAGTGCTAAATGTTCTTTTGAAATTTGTTTATTGAC